CTTCTATAGAGTCCCATTTCTCTAATATTTCACCTAGGGGGCTGTGGGGTGCTATATTCCTCAGTCTTTGGCCACTTTTCTTACTATTGTACCCTCCCATTTTTTTCGGTCTGCATATGAGGTCTCAGGCCACTCCCATTCTCCTGGTGCTGCAGTGTCCAGGTGTTGCTCTGAGCAAGCATCAGGGGAACAATGGCTAAATCACCAACCATTAACGGGCAATTGAAGAAGAACTCTTAACAATGAAGCTAACTTAACAGCAACTGGTCCAACCGGTTTTAACTCTGCAACCTTAAACAAAAATAGATAACTTTTTATTCATAACAGTTACTATCACAACTGGTAAGGGTCGCTGATGGCTGGTGTTAAGGCAGAGAGGCTTCAGTGACTCCCCTGTGGCTCCAGCAGGTGCTGTTTGCTCAGGCAGCTTCAGAGGGTGGCTGCCACAAACTCTGAGCCTCCCCAGGGGGTAATGGCGGCCCGGGGGAGAGAGAGAAGGTGGAGGGTGGGGTGTGTTTTGGTTTTCCCCTGGCTCTCACGTCTCTTGTGCAGTGTCCTGTTGATGGCAGCAGCAGCCGAGGCTCCAGTAAGCAGCCGGGAGGTGTTCCTTCCGGAGAGAGGAAGGAGGTGGGGGCCTGGTTTTGCCCTGCGGCACCCATGCAGATGGTGAGCGTCTCTCCCAGCAAGGGTGGGTGCCGAAAAGTCCCAGTCAAACAGCCACTCTTCTGGCTTACTAACAGCAAGAAGAAACAGCAAGGAAGGCTCAGCAGAAGCAGCAAGTCCCCTAGGCAGAAGTCTAGCACCAAAACCCACAACTGTCTGCCCTACAGGACAGCAAAGACTGCACCACACCCTTCTAAGGAACTGCCAAAAAACCACACCACGTCCCCTGCTCCCCCAGAACCATTCCAACTGTATGCCAAGGCCCTGGCTTCACCTTTTGTCTCTTAATGAGGTTCATTTTTCATTTCCATGACAACAAATGTGTGAAAACACTCACTCATTCTTCTTTAGCCTTCAGTTACATTTTAAAAGTCTTTCCATGCAACATCACAATTACGACATATCATTAGCATGCTCATATTTGCATAAAGCTGTGTCATGGTTTTATAGCAGTTTGTTGCTTCCGTGCATAGCTCAGTTCCTTCTGTGGCAGTTGTCAGTCTTCTGGTGGTCTTTTGATGAAGACTTCTGTAGTCTTCCTCACATTTGAACTTTTTAACTCTATCTTCAGTGCATGCCTGGTGCTTCTTGGTTTTCAATCTAACTTGTTTATAGCTAATTTTGCACTTTGCAAATTCCATTAAAACTTGCTATCTTGCTTTTGATGGCGCTTGTTATCTCACTGTCTTTGTTGTCTTGCTTGCTTTACCTCTGCATCTTGTTACAACCTTTTGTTACATACCACTTAGGTTTCATAATAAGTGAGCTATTAAGTATTATTTACAGATAATATTCAGTTCAGAAAAAAAATATAAATCTTAGGGAAATAAACATGCTTATCTTTAGTATTATTAAGTACAGTTGTAGGCTGGCCAAAATAAGTATACAATTTGCTTGAACAGACTACAAAGATAGATAGATATAGATATATAGATCAATAATCTGATAATTGTTTGTAGGATACATTAGACTGACTTCCTACTGAGTTGCATATTTCCCTCCTTGAGGAGTCTTATTTTTTTTTTTAATTAGGGTTTTGCATTTACATATTATTTAGGAAGAGTGTGAGATGGGGGAAATTGAAATTTCTTCAATTCCTAATATTTCAGGTATGGTTGAAAAAATTAAATTGAAGATTTGACATGTCTTTTCTTGAGACACCATTTTATTAGTTTCAGTGAAACTATGGGAAAAACAAAAACTCTCCCACATTTTTAGTGTTAGAGTATCAAGGCATTACTTTATTCTGGCCAGGATGTTGTTCTGGCCAGGATGTGTAACAGAAATAATTTCATCCACATATTGCCCGGGTGTGCAGAGAAAATCATTCAATGACACATGACTCTTTACTAGATTTTTCACATACTTATACAGTCAAAACCCAGAGAAATTGGTTCAATGTTCATTGGTCCCAAGTCACACAGTTCTTAGTATTTGGTTTCTTATCGGTTATGGATTTCTTCTCCTCTGATGCTAATTTGGTCCTCATTCCTTGGTTCTCTTATCAGTCTTTTATGGACAAGGTGTCTCTGACCATGCCAGGGGTGATGTTTGGAGTTTATGGTCATTAATGGTCATAACGGTCGTTAATGGTTCTTATCTTTTGTGTATCTTCCTGCTACTCCCAGTCTCTTGGGATGTTAAGCTAATCACGCCTTGAGTGATGAAACAGTCCTTTGAAAAGAAACTGCAATTCTCTTCCCCCAGGGCAAAGGCGAACAAGACTGACTAAAGTTACAAAAAAATTTTAAACTTCGTATCATTTCCAACATTAGGACAGCTGTACATAGTAGACAGTTTTTGTAGAACATCTCAAATCAAAGTGGACATAAAAAATTAATTTAAATTCATCTACCATTTCATCTGTTCAAAGTGATTTATTAATGCATGACTTGTTTTCTCCAGATTGCTACAATTTCTCCAGGGATAGCATCATGTGAAAACACTCTAAATACATTGAGATATGCAAATAGGTATGGAAAATGTTATTGCTTATAGATATATTGGCTGTTGGTCGCTGATATTTGGAATGTTCTTGTTCCATAATGTTCCATAATTATTTTAACTACTTGAATAATTTCAGTGTACTTGCATTTCTTAATAAGATTCAACCCAAAATACTGATTACTGATTCAGGCTCACATTTAATTAAATTTGTAACTTTTTGCAACCATTACAAGAGAATCAATAGAAACTGCATTTAAGCCATTATCCAGAAATTGATATAGTGGGGATTTCAAGGAATCTGGGAGATGCCTCTCTTAGTTTTGTCCCTGCTCCGGACGTATCACCTCTTGCATTAGGGGTAGGCAGTTTTCATGATGATTCCCTGGGGTGTTAGCTGAAATACCTTTCTGCAATGTGATTTTTCATCCCCTTGGTGGAATTGCATTCAGTTGCCAGCATGTTTCTTTTATATATATGATATACCACATCATATATAGCTCTATCTCAACTAGCTTATTCTTATGAAAATTCGGCAGTTGCTGTGGCCAAAATTTTATATTTCCCAACTTCAAGCAAATATCTGAGACCCCTAAATACAGTCAGCTAATCCAACAGTGACATAATCAGTGGAGAAGAAGTTAGTGCCTCCAGAGCCTGATGCATTATCTCTGAGACCTGTACTGCTCTCTGAAAGTGTTTGTCTCTTCAGTCGGTGTGAAAGGAGCCTTCCACAGCTGCAGTTCTATGATTAATGTTTGGGGAGATTGGGTCCTACATACGCCTGCAATCAGACCCTGCACCCCAGAGACCCACCCACCACTTTGCTGCAAAGAACAAAGGAGGCAAACAAGTTTCTGGGCCATCAGAAAGCCTGGTTTTGCCAGAACAAGCTACCACCTAGTGGTCTGCTTGCCCCAGTGAACGATAGGGCAGAACCACATCCTCTCCTGTTTTGCTTCCCCTGCCCCCTCCCTGCAGCCAGTCACTAATCGGGCACAAAGGGCTGCTAGGGTAACTTATAGTCCCTTCCTTTTGGTATCCAAATGTCTTCCTGTTTAGATCAAGTTAGTAGCAAATCCACCTGGCTTAGAACCAGTTTATGTGATTCCCTTCCTGGTGAGAAGGGGGCACCTAGTCCCCTGCTTACAGTAACATAATGAAGGATGTGTCACATTAATCAAAACTAGTTTGATCTTTCTATCCCTTATAGAATACGTACTGCTGAAGTGACTTCAGAAATGGACACTGAAAAGCAAATACCTATTCCTAGTATGCTAAATTGGTGTGCAGAAACTGTTTCTTCCCCTTGCTGTTAAATTCATATGTTGTTAGGGGGTTGTGCTGGTTTTGGCTGGGGTAGAGTTAATTTTTTATGCCTATCACTGTAAAGTTGCTTCATGTGTTTTGTGTAGTATTTTGATTTTTTCTACCAATATATAGTTTTCATAATACAAGTAAGTAGTTTTTAGGTGCTGAACACCAGTGTCTGCGCAGTGTAAGATGGTGCAGTATAGAATTTAAGGCACTGTAGTGGTTTGATATGTTAAAAGGATCAGTTTAATGAAATACTGAATATAGAGCAAATTTTATTAACTGCAAAAACTGAAATCTGGAATTGCTCTTCTGAAAACACTGCTATTATACTCTCCTGCAAATTACCAGCACTGATATTGTTCAATTTTGTTAGTGATCTGTAACCAATTGCAGAAGATTTAAATATGTCTTCTTTTTTAATGTAAAAATAATTTTATTGTTAAACTATTAAAGAATGCGAAATAATTATTTTAACTGTGTTTGAGATAATTTTCTTTTAATTTGCTGACATTTTTGCCCTCTTAACAGTTAATGAGTACTAAGATTTCAATCAAAAAATGCCTCTTGTGAGAAGATGGACTGCAATCTATCTGCAAATAGTTGAAAGTCTGTGCTTTTTAGGAGTTGAACTAACATCTTTTTGTCACTGAAAGTACATTAAATTTATGAAGCTAAAATCAGCACCCTTATTAAATGAAATAAATTATGCATAAATGAGCTTTATTTTTGGTTGTGACTCTTTTGAACAGGAAATTACTAATTTACAATTTAAATATTTTCTGAATGTAGGGTGAAGGAGTTGATGGTTGATCCTAGTGCTGCAGGAGATAGCTCACCTATTATACACCATGCTCCCAATCAGATTGATGACTTAGAGACACAGTGGGGTGTGGGAAGCTCTCCTCAGAGAGATGATCTCAAACTGCTTTGTGAACAAAATGTGAGTGGTTTACAGCATTGCATGGAAAGTGATGATAAATACAGCGGCAAAAAAAATCCAGAGTAATGTGTATTTATAGCCTGTTAGCAATATAATTTAGTAGATACAGCATGCCTTTTCACTTTATGCTATTATGTTCATTCCCATATACACAAAAAAAAAAAAAAAAAAATTCCTGAATGGTGAGAGGAGAATGTTTTACTTTTCTTTATCTTCCTTGCAAATTATGGCTTTTAATATCTAGGCAGGGTCTGTTCTAGGCTCTTGCATTTTTAGTGTGCATTTTTCCAGTATAGCTTTATCTCTTATTAGATAGTTAGAAGTAGCCTGGGAAATACATCCATTTTATTTAACACTCCTGTGGTTTGACCATTATTTTTCCTGCATGGAACCCTGTTTCGAGCAAGTTTGTCTTTCTCTGTGTTTAGAAATCTGGCTACCCATCATTCCTCTTCCCAACATCCTGATTTTAATGGAGTGAAACCCCAGAGCAATATTTGGGAGAAAGCCACATCATGTTCCCAGGATGTCTCCTTGGGCTGCATGAATGGAGAGCTGGGATTGAGAGGCACCTTATAAAGGGCATTTTTTTCCCCTCACTACTCATTATCAGCTCTATTCCTGGTTCCTTAAATGTCCAAGTTGGTTTGTGAAAATGCTGATTACAGGTACAAAAGAAAAATCCTTACTACCCTAAATTATTTTTCTCTAGACTCTCTGTCTTTTCAAACACCGGTCTATGGCGTTTGCTGTATTTCTCATTTTAATAGCTGTCTCTTCTTCCTGGACTTTATTTTATAAGAACATGCTAGTGATTCCTAGAGCTTCCCACTGGACAGTCCTTACAGCCAGATATCGTTTCATATATTTTCCTTGTTCATGTGGAATTCAATTACGCTTTTCAATGTATTTTTTAAAATATTTTAAAAGCATGGTAGAAGGAACCATACTGCTTTGCTAAAACATTAATTGCAGCCTACCTAGTGCTTTCCCCTTTTATTGTGATTAACTATTTATGTTTAAAGAACTCCTGTTTGTCCCAGTTTGTAAATCCGAGTTGTGCATTTTTCTAATGTATTCATCACAACATATTTTTTTTTTTTACATTACATTTATTACACTTTTTTTCCAAAGGGTTAATTTAATTTTGTTTTCTTGAAATGCACTGAATATAATTGCTGTTCTCTTTTTTGAAAATTGGCACAACAAAAAATCCTGACAGAAGTTTTCTTATTAAAACCTACTAGAAATTAACATTCTTCCCTTATGAATTCCTCCTCCCACTATTTTAACTTGGAGTTTTTTTCATGGGGAATATTCTGTTTTACAGTATCCATTAGAGTTAATGGCTGGAAATTTTTAATGAATATGAATTAAATTTAACTCTTTGAATAATTTAAATTTATTGCTCTCATTTCACTCATTTCTGGACATTTTCTTGTTAGAAAGTACTATTTTTGACAGGTTCTGCTTTCTGCATATTTCTTTTTATGATCTGTGATTATATTCAATATATTTTGTGTAGCCACAGTTCTTTTGAGTCTAACAGGCTTAACTATTGTTTTTAGGAAGAGGAAGTTTCTCCACAGTTGTTTACTTTCCATGAAGCTGTGTCACAAATGGTGGAAATGGAAGAGCAAGTAGTAGAAGACCACAGGGCTGTCTTCCAGGTAAAAGATAGACCCTACCTTGTTTTATCCTAATACTAGAATTCAGGTTTTGCCAATAAAAGTGCATACTCTTGAAGATATAGGATACCATCTGGTCATTCTGCTGCTTTCAGAGATTTCCTAAACAGAAAAGTTGCTATTTTCTTTTTACTATTTCAACTATTTACTATATTTTTTTGTGTTAGTCCTTTTCCAGCATTAGTGACTGTTTTTTTCTAGTTGTAGGGAGCTTACTCAGATTGGTCTCAAAATTTTCAATTTCACTGTCTAGTCTATGCCAGTATTCCAATGCTAAAGCTGGCAATTAATAGCAATGTATCTATATAGTAATGTCCCTATCAGCACCATTTCTGTGTGGTCATCTCCCTCTAAAATACAGCAATACTCCCTCGCAGTATTTTCTTTAAATATCCTTCTGTGACATCTTTCTCTGAGTTACTGAGATCTAAAAGAAACAAGTATATTTCTAAGTTCCTGTTTTCTTCCTTTTTGCAGATACATAAAGTTTTCATTTGCTACTAGTCAGGGTCTTTGAAAGGAGTACTGACGACATAGTGTAATGCTGATCAGCACCACAGAGCCTTTTATAGTTGCAAAATAAATTCTAATATGTATGAGTTACTAGTTTTCAGAAGGAAATGTGAATTGTTTCAGTTCATAGCCTTAGAATTTTTAGTCAGGCTGTCCATTTGGAGCATCTGCTACAAGAAAATAGCAAAACATTAAACCTAGAGGGAATACACACGTCATGGTTTGAGACTGGCCCAATGCCAGGCACCCACAAGATTCGCTCACCCTCCCCTGCCACAGCTGGGCAGAGGAGGGGGAAAAAATTAACAAACAGTTAATGAGTGAGATAAGGACTGGGAGAAATATTTCAAGGGCAAACCAGGCTCAACTTAAGTTGCAAAGTGAATTTTATTGCTAACAGAATCAGAGGAGGAATATGAGAAGTAAAATATGCCCTTAAAACACCATTTTCCCCCCAGCCCCTCCTTCCTTCCCACCAACAGCGCGGGGAGACAGGGCATTGGGATTTTGGTCAGTTTATCACCAAGATTTTCTTCCGCTGCTCTGGGAGAGGAGTCCTTCCTCTGTGAGACTGTGGGGGCCCTCCCACAGGAGACAGTTCTCCGTGAACTCTGGTGTGGGTCCACTCTCACGAGCAGCAGCCATACCGCACCTGCTTCAACGCGAACTCCCCTCCACAGGCAGACAGTCCTCCTAAAACTGCTGTGACGTGGGTCTCTCTTTCCATGGGATGCAGTCCTCCAAGGACAGGCTGCTCCAGCCTGGAAGCAGGGGCCCCCTCTCTCCACCGGGTTTTCCACTGGATCGCAGCCTCCTCCAGGCATCCACCCGCTCTGGCATGGGCACCTCCCCCATGGGCTGTGGGTGGATCTCTGCATCTCCCGTGGATCCCAATGGGCTGCAGGGGGACAACCTGCTTCACCATGGTCTTCACCACAGCCTGCAGAGGAATCTTGACTCCGGCACCTGGAGCACCTCCTCCCCCTCCTTCTCCACTGACCGTGGTGTCACCATTTTGTTTTCCTTCACATATTCTCACCTCCTCCTCTTCTCTGACTAGAATCAAAACCCTGTGACTTTGTTTTGATTTTCTTCTTAAATATGTCATCACAGAGGCATTAACAACCCCTCTCATTGGCCCAATTTTGTCCAGCAGCATGTCCATCTTCAGAGCCATCAGATATTGGCTCTGCTGGATATGGTGGAAGCTTCCAGCAGCTCCTCACAGGAGCCATCTTTGTGGCCCCCTGCTACCAAAAACCAGGCCGTGCCAAACCAATACAACACATCTCAATTTAGGCGTGTAACTTAGTGGAATATTGATATGTGTTCATGTAATACAGTAATGATGCTAAATAACACATTTTAGAACAGATGTAGATATTTAGCTATTTTGAAACATTAGCCCTGAAGTAAAGCATGCAGAAGTATAAAAGTCATGCCATATGCCATAGCTGTGTCCTAATGCTTGCAACTTCTGGAGAGACAAACTGCATTAAGATGTTACTGACTCTGTGTGTCCATCTGGCCTTATGCTGGAGATTACTGCCCCTCACAGCAGTCATTAGAAGGAAATGTGTCTGAGTCTCAGCAACTTTCATTTGCAGCATTACTTGTTAGTTTATGCCATGGGTGAAGATGGGTTGCACGAATATAAAATCTACAAGCTGTAACATGCAGAAGTTGTCTTCTGTAAGCTTTTTCCTGGAGGCTGTTGATTTTGGGATACAAAACATCCCATCCTAACAAAAAATCTCTAAAATAGATTAACTGAATTAATTGTACTCTGAACCTCTTGATCTTCCTTTGTTTCTTGGATATACAAGTTTACGTTAGATGGCATAAATCCTATCCCAATGTGAGAGCTCCATCTGTCCTGAAAGCCAACAAAACATATACGGGGTTTGGGCTATGCTTTCAATATTACTTGAACTACTGAGCACAGAGGGAGACTTAATTTTAGTATTTCAGGCTCAGCATGCATAGAACTGCAAAGCATTTCCAAGGAGATCACTTCATCTAATCACAGCTTTGCATGATTCTGTAACCTTTAAGGGCCTGGTTGCATTCTTCTCTGCTGCAAGCCTTTTTTTTTTTTTTCTTTTTTTTTTTTTTTTTTTTTAATTTGTAGTATTCAGAGTGCAAAGATGCCTAAGATGTGCTTTAACCATCTTTTACAGTACTATTATCTGTCTGGAGAGTTAGCTCTTCTTTTATACAGTTTCTCTCAAAACTGGTTTTGAGTATGGACAGAATTATTTTGGCTCATTGACTGCAATGACACAATAATGATTATTGTCAGTGGCAACCAGTCCATACTTAGAAATGAAATCTGGCTTCAAAGTTTGATACCTACCTAAGGGCACATAACCATGAAATAAAGTTCTTAATTTCTTAGTTTTACAACCATCTAATGTTCTGAATTTGAAGAGAACTGGGGTAGTTGGGGTTTGTCTGTTGCTGTTATGACCATTGGAGTTAAGAAACTATGTAGAAAACATGCAATTTTGCTAAATTAGGAATAAGGATTCACGTTAGGATTGAAACATTATAGTGAGGTGACTAGACAGTAAAAGTGTGATCATCATGAGAAAAGGAATAATTCAGCTCATGAATTGTCTTGAAATTTGCATTGAAACTTTGTTAATGTATTTAGTTGAGGTTTTGTTAACTTTTACCTAGGAATCTATTAGATGGCTGGAACATGAAAAAGCTCTTCTTGAGATGACAGAAGAAGTAGACTATGATGTGGATTCTTATGCTACGCAACTTGAAGCAATTCTAGAACAAAAAATTGATATTCTGACCGAACTTAGAGGTAGATTGCTTTTAATCACTTTTGTGTGCATTTTGATATGCCATGGACATTTGCAGTAATAATAAGGGGATAAAAAGAGTGTGGTTATGTTTTGGGGTCTTTTTTCACCTTATGCTGTCCTGTAATGTTCTGAGAAAGGAACATTTATTTAAGAACAAGTTCTCATCTGTATTCAACCCATTCTAGTTTAATGGAAGAGTCTGCTTTACCTCCAGGAAGTATAAACTTGATCCTGCAACTTTGGGTTGGTTTTTTTTTTCCTTTGTTCCAAAAGAATAAAGGAAAGAAAAAGAAAATCTGCTGTTGTTTTTCAGTCTGTGCTTAAGAGTAATGTCGAGTTCTGAGTAGCATGGCTTTTAGCCTACTTTTTTCCTTAGCAGCCTTTCTGTCAAAATTTTGTCAGCCTCTCTTTGTTGAAAAACCAACTGCAGATAATGTTTAGTTACCAAAATTGACTCTTTGATATGTCTTTTAAATTTAGCATGTCAGCTTGGTACCTCATGGCGATTAATTTTTTATTTCAGTTTCTCTATGTATCTGCATTCCAGCAGACATGCTATACTGGTTTAGTTTGGATTTTTTAATCTGTGTTAGAAAACTCTTTATAAAATAAAATCTTACATTTTACTCAGCCTGAGTATCTGGTGTAAGTTAGAATACATCAAGCAAATCAGATGTGGCCTGCTGGCTTTGTATGCATGTATTGGTACCAGTATACTTTAGCAAAGAATTTGATGTACATTCCTCTGTTTCTTATGGATGATGGCTTCCTCTTCAGGGAAAGACAATTTGAGACAACAGCAGTAAAAAACCAGTTTAGGTGACTCCCTGTTCTTCCATAACTTATTAGATACTGCTTTTGAAACAAGATACTGGAGATAAAGGATATCTAAAAGATCCTTGCATCTTTACAAATAGCATGATATAACACATATAGCTTTACAGGAGGGAAGAACTGTTAAAGCTTCTTTCTCCCAGTAACTTTTCTGTTATGCTCATGGAACATAATGGTCACTGAATATTTCAGCTTTTAGTCCTGTCACTTTGGGACTGACTTTTTTATGCTGTCAGTTTTGTTTCCTTCTTCCCATTCTTGGGCATATTACTGTGGAACAGGAGTGGAGGAGGAATATAAATAGGAAAGGATGACATACTTCTTTTCTAGGGTTTCTCTTATTCTTGTGCTAGCTGTGATGAAAAAAATGATTGACGCATTTCTGTTTACTTCCAAAATTTAATCACAAATGCTTTTCACATTCATAGAAAAGTTGTTATCATAGAATCACAGAATGGTTTTGGTTGGAAGGGACCTTAAAGATCATCTTATCCCCCTCCCTGCCATAGGCAGGGACATCTTCCACTAGACCAGGTTGCTCCAAGCCCTGTCCAACCTGGCCTTGAACACTTTCAGGGATGGGGCAGCCACAGCTTCTCTGGTCAACCTGTGCCAGGGCCTCACCACCCTCACAGGGAAGAATTACTTCCTAAGAAGAGACAGGGTGTCCTGGGGTGACTTTATGATGCTCATATCCCCATTCGTCTGTTTAGCCCAGAAATAAGTTTTGCACCTATAAGATTGGTTTTGAGAGCGAAGCGGGGGGGAAGAAGAAGCGCGCAGTTTGTTTTCAGAAACTGCACTCACTCCTCCACATTCCTGGTCCTGTGTTGTCTGTGGACGGACAGACGGCGGGACAGAGCTCTCTTCTGCTTTTGGTTAGGTTTTAGCTAGCTGAGGCAGAGAAGTTCCCTGGACTGTGGTTTTTCTTTTTCTTTGGACTTGTTTAAACCTGCTCTGGACTGAACATCCAGAACAGCACTGGCAGCTGACACCTGTGTCCCACCAGGGCCTGGCTTGGCCTGGACTGTGGCATTTCCAGTGACAGAGGGACTGATAAGAGACTGAGTGAGCTGAGCTACAACCCACGAAGGGGACTTTCTGAGTTTGTCATCTCTTTTGGAGCAGCAAGAGGTTTTATAGTTTAATATTGGTTTTTTTTGTTTTGGTTTTTTTTTTTTTGTTTGTTTTTTTGTTTGTTTTTTTTTTTTGTTTTAAATTTTAAAGGGTTTTTTTTTTTTAATTTTTTTTTTTTTTTTTTTTTTTTTTTTTTTTGTTTTGTTTTTTTTTTTGTGCTGGTGAATGCTTTGCCTGTTAAATAAACAGTTTTTTCCACTTTTCTCCAAGGCAATATTTTTCCTGAACCAGTTGGGGGAGGGGCCACTTGAATTTGCTTTTCTAGAGGAAATCCCTTTAGAGGTTTTTTTCTCCCAAAATTGCCCTAAACTAGGACACAGGGGTAGCATCTAAGAAGGGACTATGTTGTTAGGAAATTTGTTTGTATGGTAAGTATTAAATTTAAGCTTATCTCAATCCTCTTGTAGTTTGTATCTTCAGCTATTTTTGTGGAGGAGTGTACTTTGTTTTGCATTAGGGCCAGTATGTGGGGCATCAGGCCTTAGTTTCAGGATCTGTGTTGAGGACAGACATATTAGTACTCATTTTCTCTTTTTCATTAAAGATAAAGTGAAATCTTTCCGGGCAGCTCTACAAGAGGAGGAACAGGCCAGTAAACAGATCAACCCAAAAAGACCACATGCCCTTTGAAAGGAGGCTTCTGCTGCTAAAGGAATCTATGAACCTGTACTGCTGTAGGACACATTTGTTACAAAACCCAGTGGTTGGAAGAACTCAACTACTTGAAAATGTAAAAATGTTAGAAACGTCCTGTTTATTACTCATCTAAATTATATTTTCAGTTTTGTGTGAAATGCTCCTATGATGTCTATAAAATGCTTCTAGACCAAACAGTACAACCTTGCAGGGTTCAGATCTGTGAAGCAATTTGTTTAAAGTATTTAATTTATTCAAATTGTAAATTTTATGTTTGGAAATATTTGCCATGTTTTTAATAATGAAGCAGAACTGTGACAATTGAAAAGTCATAGTATTTCCTTTTCACTATGTTCAGTTTTGTTATAAAGACCATTTGTGCAGTTTTAAATTGTCTTTGCTCCATGAGTACCTCACTAGTGGTTTTACATATCTTCTACAGATAGTTGTGCTTATTTCTTCCCATTCTGTGCCTTCATGAGGGCTACTTAATCCTGAGTATCCTCTTTCTGAAGCACAGTCTTAATAAACAACATCCATATTTGTCAATATAAATTGCTTTTAGTGTGTATATATTTTTAATGTGTTTTGAGACTTTTTTTTTGGTGGCTAGTGCATTTCACAGCATGTGCCATATCCTTCAAACAGGAACTGCAAGAGCTGTTAGAGTGAACATACAGCTGGACATTCCATCCTGCTTGTAAAAAATCTGAAATTTAGGTTTATTTGAATACCATAAATAATAGTTATATAATTATAACATTTTCTCTGTAATTAAAAAAGAAAACACATACAAAAAAGTAAAATCAAACAAAAAATACATTGGTTGATGTATAACGAAGGGTAATGTTTAAGTACTGAGGAGAGTGGGATCTTAGAGTAATACAGATAGATATACAGTGTGTGGTATGGTGTGATAATGCTGTCAGAATAAAGGTACCATCTGACCTCTTCATATGGATAGGCTAACTGTCAAAATTCAGGGATCCAGCTAAAGAAATACATATTGACCTTTCACATATTGTTAAAATTTGGCTTTTGATGCATGATGAGCTTACATGTACATTAACTGTAGTTTGAAAATAGTTTAAGTAGCTCTGATTCTTTAAAAAAAAAAAAAAAAGTAGCTAATGCCTATTTTTCCCTTTGTACATTGCCAGCAGCTGAAAAGTGAGGTGAAATTGCATCAATTGAGGATTTGCACAATACCTCTACCTAGTACAAATAGAAATCCAATAAGTACCTGAATTCTCACAAATGGCACCATAGGTATCAGCACTATTTAGGTGGTGGCACTCAAATTATTTTTGCAAGTCAGTATCCAAAAAAGATGAACCTTTTGTGTAAGAACTTCTTGCCGAATGAAGAATTGTAGACCTCTCTAGGAGTTCTCCCCATTTCCAGGAGTTCATATCAAAGACTTTCCCTTGGAACTGTTTAAAAATTACTTTTGTAATTCAAGCCTGTTAGTTTGTGCCAGGCCTGGAGGGAAATAAAAGGAAGGCAATGAAAAGAGAGTTTAATGAGCCAGGAATTCTTGCAGCATTTCATATTTGTGTGTCCCATAGAAAGGCAGGGTATGGGAAGCTCCTGTTGCTTTGTGGTTAAAAATCCTCCTGTGTGTAAACATTTAAAGTGAAACAACAATGTAGATTTCACATACTCTGTTTAATAAATTAAGCTGTTAAATGAAAGACAAATGAGAATTTACTTCTATGAAAGTTCTTTTACACTTTGGAAAGGGTTTGATTTTGTAAACACATCTGAATTACACTTTTCAAAAGGCCTCTGATTTCAGAATGGATATTTACTACTAGAACTATTCTGTACAAATTCGTTGTATAGAACCAAGCTCCCCAGAGGACTATCCTGACAAATTTTACAACAAACCTTAAAAGAAACACCACACATCTTTCTGAACATTTAAGAATGTCTTCCATCACAACTAAAAGAAAAAACCCCAATGAAATAGAAGGCAGCAGCTTTCTAGAGAAATCTTACTTTCTAAAAAGCCTCTGAAGATTGAGACATCCTACATGAGAAACAGTTGTTTCCCTACTATTCATCCATGCAAGCCCAGAGCCACATGCAGAATGTGGTTCATAGGGGTATCAAAGAGGATAGGAAGGACAGAGGCAGATTTCAGCAACTTTTTACCAAGTCTTGTAAATGATGTTTCCTGTCAGATAGCACATGTGAGCTAAAATTGCATCAACTGGGCGGGGGAGGGGGGGGAGCAGTTAAGAGACAGGCTTTGCAATAGAACCTGCTCTAAAGATCATAGCTACACTGTTACTGAATCAGTGAGAATGGAGATTTTAAAAACTAATACAGCACTTGAATTCTTCTAGCCCATTTCTTTGATGGGTTGGAATTACTTGAATAGGACTCAGACAAGCTTATCTTGATTTCTGTCCTCTAAAACAAAAGCATTTAAGATATATGACACAAATCTCTAACACTTGTTCCTTTTGTATTGGTCTGTGCATATTGCTGTGACTACTTATATTCACTCATAAATTGGTTCTATATGCAGTGAAGCAGCATTAGAATAATTAAAATATAAAATAAACGAGCAAGTCAATTTTCCAAGACAGTCTCTCAGCATGCCTGCAAATTCAAGTACGTTTCTCTACATGTTTTTTCCAATGACTTTTAAAGTATTGACATTGGGCATGTATAAAATGAAGTTATGTCTTAGAGGAGTTTTTGCTAATTTGCCTCTTCTCCATTTACTGTGGTCTGATAGAAAGATCTATATTACACGAGAAAAATTGACTTATGGTAGTGAATACATAGAGTGGGGCCTTCATCCCTGCATGATACTACAGAGTTAACAGTTACTGTTTTCCTGAATCATAAGACGGACGAAAGGGGATTTTTCTTTTGACAGCTGCTATGCAGAGCTAATGTAAACTTGGGGGAAAACAGTCTTGTCCTTAATAACAAATATATATAATTCAAACTATATTAAGACTTCAGTAAGTCTTTTTGTCAGGACACAGGCATGAATTGCTCTAAGACTCACTGAAAGCTTTGATCTATGCTAAAACACCTTGTTGTCTTGAAGGGTGAAGTAGTTTTCAGCTGCCTGAATTTACAGTTGACAAAAATCAACCCCCCCCCCCAAAAAAAAACCAAACCCAAAGTATTTAAATATACTTAAAAACAATCAAAAAATCCCAAACAAATGTAATTACAACAAATCTATTTTTGTTGCCCAGACCACACTTATGGGTTGCACTATATAGCATTGCACAGGAATATCCTGAGATTAAGTCCATAATCAGAGAACACAGATTTCAACTATAGCAACATCAATCCCGTCTCAGTTTAATGACAAGTTTAGGATAAAATGCTCTGGAACAAGTGTTTCCTCTAAAAAAAAAAAGGAGTTTATGCCTATATAACTTAGGTCAAAGTTACAAAGTGCTTATATAGGTTGAGTTATAAAATACCAATATAATATATCTATATAACCTGATATCAATACAACCTAAATAATGACTTTTTATATATCTATATAACCTGATATCAATATAACCCAAATCATAGTGTTTTATACCTATATAACCTGATATAAATAAATTTTTTATAGAATGTAATGGCTAGTATATGGTTAACTAGTTGCTTAATGCTAAATAGACAGAAAAAAGAAAAAAAACCTCACCAGGTGGATAGTTTCAGAGATAGATAAGTATAGTACTAATGACAAATTGGCAAATGTAAAGCCAATTTGATGCCTGGAGAGGCTGACTGAGAACAGAGACTAGAATGAAAAAAAAAGTAGCTAATGCCTATTTTTCCCTTTGTACATTGCCAGCAGCTGAAAAGTGAGGTGAAATTGCATCAATTGAGGATTTGCACAATACCTCTACCTAGTACAAATAGAAATCCAATAAGTACCTGAATTCTCACAAATGGCACCATAGGTATCAGCACTATTTAGGTGGTGGCACTCAAATTATTTTTGCAAGTCAGTATCCAAAAAAGATGAACCTTTTGTGTAAGAACTTCTTGCCGAATGAAGAATTGTAGACCTCTCTAGGAGTTCTCCCCATTTCCAGGAGTTCATATCAAAGACTTTCCCTTGGAACTGTTTAAAAATTACTTTTGTAATTCAAGCCTGTTAGTTTGTGCCAGGCCTGGAGGGAAATAAAAGGAAGGCAATGAAAAGAGAGTTTAATGAGCCAGGAATTCTTGCAGCATTTCATATTTGTGTGTCCCATAGAAAGGCAGGGTATGGGAAGCTCCTGTTGCTTTGTGGTTAAAAATCCTCCTGTGTGTAAACATTTAAAGTGAAACAACAATGTAGATTTCACATACTCTGTTTAATAAATTAAGCTGTTAAATGAAAGACAAATGAGAATTTACTTCTATGAAAGTTCTTTTACACTTTGGAAAGGGTTTGATTTTGTAAACACATCTGAATTACACTTTTCAAAAGGCCTCTGATTTCAGAATGGATATTTACTACTAGAACTATTCTGTACAAATTCGTTGTATAGAACCAAGCTCCCCAGAGGACTATCCTGACAAATTTTACAACAAACCTTAAAAGAAACACCACACATCTTTCTGAACATTTAAGAATGTCTTCCATCACAACTAAAAGAAAAAACCCCAATGAAATAGAAGGCAGCAGCTTTCTAGAGAAATCTTACTTTCTAAAAAGCCTCTGAAGATTGAGACATCCTACATGAGAAACAGTTGTTTCCCTACTATTCATCCATGCAAGCCCAGAGCCACATGCAGAATGTGGTTCATAGGGGTATCAAAGAGGATAGGAAGGACAGAGGCAGATTTCAGCAACTTTTTACCAAGTCTTGTAAATGATGTTTCCTGTCAGATAGCACATGTGAGCTAAAATTGCATCAACTGGGCGGGGGAGGGGGGGGAGCAGTTAAGAGACAGGCTTTGCAATAGAACCTGCTCTAAAGATCATAGCTACACTGTTACTGAATCAGTGAGAATGGAGATTTTAAAAACTAATACAGCACTTGAATTCTTCTAGCCCATTTCTTTGATGGGTTGGAATTACTTGAATAGGACTCAGACAAGCTTATCTTGATTTCTGTCCTCTAAAACAAAAGCATTTAAGATATATGACACAAATCTCTAACACTTGTTCCTTTTGTATTGGTCTGTGCATATTGCTGTGACTACTTATATTCACTCATAAATTGGTTCTATATGCAGTGAAGCAGCATTAGAATAATTAAAATATAAAATAAACGAGCAAGTCAATTTTCCAAGACAGTCTCTCAGCATGCCTGCAAATTCAAGTACGTTTCTCTACATGTTTTTTCCAATGACTTTTAAAGTATTGACATTGGGCATGTATAAAATGAAGTTATGTCTTAGAGGAGTTTTTGCTAATTTGCCTCTTCTCCATTTACTGTGGTCTGATAGAAAGATCTATATTACACGAGAAAAATTGACTTATGGTAGTGAATACATAGAGTGGGGCCTTCATCCCTGCATGATACTACAGAGTTAACAGTTACTGTTTTCCTGAATCATAAGACGGACGAAAGGGGATTTTTCTTTTGACAGCTGCTATGCAGAGCTAATGTAAACTTGGGGGAAAACAGTCTTGTCCTTAATAACAAATATATATAATTCAAACTATATTAAGACTTCAGTAAGTCTTTTTGTCAGGACACAGGCATGAATTGCTCTAAGACTCACTGAAAGCTTTGATCTATGCTAAAACACCTTGTTGTCTTGAAGGGTGAAGTAGTTTTCAGCTGCCTGAATTTACAGTTGACAAAAATCAACCCCCCCCCCCAAAAAAAAACCAAACCCAAAGTATTTAAATATACTTAAAAACAATCAAAAAATCCCAAACAAATGTAATTACAA